CAGCGGTCCGTGCTGACGGCGAAGTCGTCGCCAGTCGGCAACGGTTGCTCTGGACGCTGATGGAGGTCTTGAAAAGCATCCTGGTGGTCAGCAGGAAGGGCCTCCTTGTGCTTCTGTAGCACTGCTTGCTTACGCTGGTAACGTTTACCCGTAGGGTCTGGGGCTGTCGGTGGCCGATCGACCGCAGGGGGTGGCCGTGGTCGGACCATGGCGCGGTGCCACCATGCAGTCGACGTGTCCTGGATCTTCACATGGGGGCCGCAACGGGCCTTCCAGGGCACGGCGAGGACGCCCTTGACCGAGACGAGGTGGGCCACGGACACGGGCGCCACCACGTAGTCTATGAGGGACCCCGCACCCTTGTCACAAGTGGCCTTCGCATCACATCCTTGAAAAACGAGTTGCCCTCGAGGACCTTCGGGGTAATGTTCCAACCTGCAACTCTAATCCACGGGTCGGGGACCGAGGCCAACAAGGCTCGAAGAGAAGCCCATCTCTCCAAGTTGAGGCCCCCGAACCCGTGCTTCGGCAAGAAGTAGGCCGAGATCACGATGAGGTTGCCTGCGCGGAGGTGCCAGACAGTGGGCGCCCAACCCCGGCAGGGATCCTTCCGGCGCCCTTTGCTCATAAGAGCTCGCTGCCGATCAAACGAAGCGGTGGCCAGGTGCGACCGAGCCAAGATCCACTCACCTCCGCTCGCGCCCTCCGCCGAACGGCCAGTGCTGGAAGCCGCGCAGGCCGGTGACTTCCAGCCGTCGACGTCTAAGCACGCGCGTTGCTGGACCAGCCTCGCCTCGGTGACATGGGTCTCGGCGAACGCCATGATGCCGTAGTTATTGTTATTCTCAACCGCGAACTTGTGGATGCGAGGGCCCCACCCCGTGACATTGGCAAACAAGACCAAAGCATCAGCACGATCAGGGGGTTGCTGCTTCTTCTTCGGAGTGGGGCTGACTGCGCGCGCTGGCGCATGGCACGCGCAAGTATCATCATAGTAGCACTCGGCCCGAGGAAGCGCATCAGGACCAAGGAGGTCCCTGAACTCCTGCTCAATGGCCCTCGCCGCGTCCCAGATGCGGCGATCCTCCACGCGCCAGTGGGAAAGGTCCTCCACCTGCGACAGGCGGCCCACGTGCAAGATAACTGCAGCTCTGAGCGCAGCTGACCTGCGCCAGGCCCTGTCGCGCACCTCCCCAGCCTCCGCGATCGTGCACTGGGTGATGAGGAGAACGAAGAGCGCGCACGACTGCCGCCACCTGGCCGCTCCGCTCTCAGGGCCCTGAAGGTTATCAATCCAATATGATGCTCGCTTCTTCATAGCATCATCAAATTGCTGTTGTGGGGGCGGGGCCAACTGGGTCGGCCCGCCAGCGCCAGTCTGCATCACCTCCGAAGGGGACCTCGGAGCTGCAAGCGAAGTAGAAGGAGCCCCTGCCGACAGTGTAGAAGGTGCCACGTAGCTAGCTCGCGCCCCCATCCCCGAAGGGCGGGCCATAAGGGGGCCGCCTGCAACCGAAGAAGTAGGAGCCGACGCCGATTGAGCTGAAGCTGCCCCGTAGCTCGCACATGTCCCCATCCCCGAAGAGCGGGCCAGATGGGGGCTGCCTGCACTCGAAGTACTGGCAGCCGTCGCCGAAGAAGCTGGAGATGCCACACCGCTCGATTCTGCCCCCATCCCCGAAGAGCGGGCCAGATTGGGGCCGCCTGCAATCGAAGTAGATAGAGCCGTCGCCGATGGAGCAGAAGATGCCACACAGCTAGCTCGTGTCCCCATCCCCGAGGAGCGGGCCAGATGGGGGCTGCCTGCAGTAGTAGTCTGCCGCAGTCTCGCCGATGCCCCCGCCCCCAGGGAGGCGCATCCTGGGCCATGCGGGGGGTCGTCGCAATAAAGATTAGCAGATTGCCCCAGCTCCAAACCAAAGCAATCATCATCGCTGAAGTGAATGTCCTCTAAGGGGCCGATATCTGTGTCATCCAGCGTTGTGCTACCCTCGCTTCGGCGGAGGAGCCGTGGACCGAGGTGGAGGCCCGCCAGGAACGCCACCCCCAGCGCCAGGCCCAGGAGGGGCAACATCCACCCCCACAACAGCAGGGGACTTCGCCACTGGAGGTGCCTTTGCTGCAGACTTCTCCAGCCGCTCACGGGCGGCCTGGGCATTGGAGGCTCGAGCCTTGGCAGCTGCATCAGGCTGGGCTGGCTGCTCGGGGGGGCGCGGCGGCTGCCTTGCCCTCCCCAGCGCCAGTGGCGGGGCCCGCCGCGGCGCCGCCATCGCCCTTCGCTGCCGCAGGCTGGGGGGCGCCACCGCTGCCTGCAGCGCACAGCGTCGCTTCTGGGCCAGAAGCCTCCTCCATGCGCCTGCGCTTGAGGGGGGCCTGAGCTGCTGCCAACGTGACTCCCCTCAAGAGCCTGCTGGGCGGCCTGGATGACCGCCTTGGCCTGGTCATTGGCCTCATCCATGGCCGTGAGGGCCATCTGCAGCTTGGTCTTTGCTTCGCCGTCCTCGTACTCATCAACCGAGATGCTCTTGAGCTTCTCGTCGAACGACGCCAAGAAGCCAGGAGCAGACGCTTCTGGCTTGACCTCTGGAGCCGTCGGTGAGCGATACTTGTTGTAGGCCAGCGCCGCTGCCTCGTGGGCCTCCTCGGCGTCCACGAGCTCCTCTATGGCCTGGTCGTAGTCATGTCGCGCCTTCTGGAGGCGCTTCTCCAAGTTGCCGGTCTCCGAAAGAAAGTTGTGAGCGTTGGTAGCCGCCTGCTTCGCCTTGGCCTCCGTCGAATGGAGCTGCTTCAAGGGCGATCGCGACTTCGGCAACGCTGGCGTCTCCACTGCCTGCTTGATGGCGAGAACTGGGGCCGTAACCGAAGAACCTTGCTGCACAAGAGCCTCAAGCTGGTCGAAGAGCTTCGCCTTACCCCAAGGGGTGAAGATTGCAGGCGATGAAGCGGCAGCCACAGCAGGCCCTGGCCCTTTCGGCAATCCACCCTTGAGCTTGTACTTATCCTTCTTCTTCGGAGAAAATAGCTGCTGCGCCTGTCCACACGCCGAGCAATTGCCACCATTCTTGATGATGCGCCAGTTCCAATCCCACTGCTTGCATGCACGGCAAGACGGGGTCGGGCACATCGTGTAGTTCGCGCGGGGCTGCTGCGGCGCCATGGCAGGCACTGACGTGGAGGAAGAGGGGCTTGTACCGTCGCACAGCAATCGACGGGATCGGGGTCCCCTGAAATCGCTGAAAGTCTGGCTCGGGGAACAGAGCTATCCCGTGAGGAGGAATGGAAGGAGGAAGCGGCGGAGGAGGAGGAGGAGGAGGAGGCCGAGGAACCGCTGGGCGCCGTGCCCGTCGGAGAGGGCGGCGCGGCGCTCCCCGAAAAAAAACGCGGGGGGGCGCGCGCACGGGAAACGGGGGGCGGAGGGGGACGGCCTACAGGGGGAGCTCGACCACAAGAAACATGCCACAAGCTGCGGCACCGCGCGGCAGCTGCTCTCGCAGCTCGTATCGCCACGGGCACACCACGGACACCGCCCTGTCAAAAGCACCAGCATGTCACGATGAGGGGCTCCTCCCAATCGAAGCAGCTGCGTCAGCATACAACTTTTGAAGTCCGCGCGGGTTTCATGGCCGGAGGAGCCGCCAGGGGGGCCCAGCACCGATCCGAGAAATCCGCGCGGACCTGCGAAAAGATGTGCTGTCAGTGGAAGCCAACCCACTAAAAACCTGCCACAAGAAGCCCAACCGTGAGACCCCAGGACGTCCATTGATTCTTCTTGGTGCGGGAATGCCGCGCCCGTACCACAGCAAGACCATCGAAGCCAAAGGAAAGCAGGCCAGCCTGGAGGCAGACAGGGCGCTTCTTGGCATGGGTTTCCACTGTACTGTCGGGCCCCCCCCGAACGATGCGGTGGTCACACCGTGTGCATACAGTGTGGCCACCCGAGCACGCCTCGGGCAGCCTGGGCCTCCAGGGCCCCGGAGCGGTGCGGTGCCAGGCCGTGGTGAGGTCGTTGGGGGCCCAGAGGTCGCCGCACGGTCTGTCACCGCACCGCTCTGGAAACCCCCGACGCTGAGGAAAGGGTGGACCTTTCTGAGGAGAGGACTTATCGTATTGGGAAGAAGGGGCTGGGAGGATGAAGGGTGTGAGCAACATCATCTGGATGCAATGAACGGTACCTTCAGTCGCCTACGGGTGATGATATCCTCGTGTCTCCCAACCCCATCCCCCCTAACCCAATAATTGTCTTCCTGACTTTCTTAGCAGGGACCAGAGGTTTCGCATAGTGCTGCTTAGAAGGCGGGGGTCGGGGAGGCTGCTGACAAACCGCTGGCATTCTGTGAGGACCGCCTCCTTCGGGCCCCCCTCCATGGCGCGCCACCGACCGGGCCTACTAGCAGAAGCCCTTCGTGGGGAACGTGCATCATCGGACAAGATGTCGAACTCTCGACTGGAGAGCTCCGGTTTAGCCAGACTGGCCCCCGCTTTTGCAGGCACGGGGCCTTGATCTGGCGCGGGGTCGCAACAAATCCAGGCCCTCACTCTCGAACGGCACCTGTGCGCGGCGGGTTCTCGCGAGGACGTCGGCCCTGGTTTTTCAACGCAGTCCGTGCGGATCGCTCTAACTCGAACGACGCTCCGATTGCGCACAGATCGTTCAACATCGGCCGATTCTGGGCAACTGGCAGCCACCAATTCTGAAAGACCGTACTGGGGTTGCCGCCGCGTCATCAGGGGCGTCCCAGAGGGGGGCGTCCAAGAGGGGGGTTCGCTAATCATGGCCCGAGGCACGTGCGAAACGAGGCACGTGCGAAAACTAGGGGGCGGGCATGGGACGTGCTGAGAGAGGAAGAGGGGGCCATGACATCTGGAAGATATCATGGCCCCAGCCATTCCAGAGATCCGATGTCTTGATTTTCTGGGGAGCACGAGAAGAGAATACGGCTGCTCTTCGTCCTCGTCGGCTGCTCCTCCTCCTCCTGCTCCTCATCCCCCCCCGAGGCAGCCTCTGCCGGCAGAGGACTCCCGCACGAGAGCAGCTTCAGCAAGTACCCGAGGTCGTAAGAGCCGGAGAAGGTCAGCCACCACGGCGCCTCGAGCGAGCGGGAGAGCGGATGAGGGTAAGAGGATCGAAGGCGTTGGCTTTCGGACTCTCCGCGGGCCTCCCAGGGAGCCCTCGTCGCAACGGCTGGATCCGCCCCGAAGCCCTGGTCAGAATGCGACGCCAGGAGAGACCGTACACGGACACTAGAGTCGAACCCTGTGGCCCGAGAAGCCCCCCCCAGACCAGCCGAAACTAAGATTGAGGGCGTGACCCAGGAGAGGCGTGAGCGGGCATTTCTTCACTGAGTTCAGCATTGTTGGAGGCTTGGGAATGGACACTGGAACCAAAACAGGGGGTCGCGTTCACCGGGAGAGGATGCTCTTAGATTTTGATGGCGGTGATAATCTTTCGGCCACCTGGAAAGCCCAAATATTACGTAGTACCCCGCAATTGCGGATAAGAATGAGGGGGCGGGCGCTGGCGACGCGGGCGTCGAGCCGGCAGACCTCGTGGCCCCACCTTCCCTGTCGATGGCGCCCTCCTCCTCCTCCTCCTCCTCCTCCTGCTCCTCCTTCTCCTCCTGCTCCTCCTCCTCCTCCTCCTCCTCCTCCTCGTCCGCGTCCTCGTCCTCATCGTCGTCGTCGTCGTCGTCGTCGTCGTCGTCCGCCTCCTCCTCCACCTCCTCCTCTTCCTCCTTTTCCTTTTCCTCCTCCTCCTCCTAACCAATGCGAGCAAGCCCGCCGCAGGCGCCGATTTGCGTGCTCTGACAAGTTCAGCGCGGGGGGAACCGCTGGTGGGCCACCCGGAACCAACGCAAAAACAGCCCGCCGCAGGCGCCGAATTGTTGGCTTGTTCAGTGAACGTAGTTTTGGTCGCGGGTGGGTCGCGGGCTCTCCACCTCCACCTGGAAGAAATTCAAAAACAGCCCGCCGCAGGCGCCGAAAACTTTGATTTGTACACTGAACGCGGTTTGGGTCGCAGGTTCTCCACCTGGAACGACTGCAAAAGAAACCCGCCGCAGGCGCCGAAGTTTTGGCTTGTTCAGTGAACGTAGTTTGGGTCGCGGGTGGGTCGCGGGCTCTCCACCTCCACCTGGAAGGAATTCAAAAACATACCGCCGCAGGCGCCGAAAATTTTGATGTGTACACTGAACGCAATTTGGGTCGCGGGTGGGTCGCAGGTTCTCCACCTGGAACGGATGCAAAAGAAGCCCGCCGCAGGCGCCGAAAATTTTGGGTGGGTCGTGGGGTGGGTCGCGGGTGGGTCGCGGGTGGGTCGCGGTGGGTCGCGGGTGGGCCGCGGGCGCGGTTTGGGTCGCGGGTGGGGGTCGCAGGTTCTCCACCTGGAACGAATGCAAAAGAAACCCGCCGCAAGCGCCGAAAATTTTGGGCGGGTCGAGGGGTGGGTCGCGGGTGGGTCGCGGGTGGGTCGCGGTGGGTCGCAGGTGGGTCGCGGGTGGGTCGCGGATTGGGTCGCGGATTGGTCGCCGGTGGGTCGCGGGTGGGTCGCCAGGGGGATCTCAGGGTGGGTTGCGGGCGGGTCGCGAGGTGGGTCGCGGGTAGGTCGCAGGTGGGTTGCGGGTGGGTCGCGGGATGGGTCGCGGGTGGGTCGCGGGGTGGGTCGCGGGTGGGTCGCGGGTGGGTCGCGGGGTGGGTCGCGGGTGGGTCGCGGGGCGGGTCGCGGGTGGGACGACAACAACAACAACAAGAATCCGCAACGCGGAATTCCACTTCAGCCACGCACCCAGGGACAGTGAATGACCGTTCGGTTCAGCGCCATCACTCTGACCACCATCACCGGGATCAGGATCATCTTCACTCGGTCGCGGAAGACCGCTGGTATTGGTGTTGGTGTCAACCTATAGGCCTCCGACATTGATTTCGGGTGACGATGGGGATCAGAAATCCCCTCAAAAACATGTTGTAGTCGGCAGCGAGGCAGAGGCAGCGACCAGTCCGGCGTGTCGCTCACATCGGAGCAGCCGACATGCGAAAATGGTCCGGCGTGCAAGAGTAGGGCAAGAAGACGAGGGCGGCCTCGCGGGGCGAGGAGGGGGGGACGCGCGAACAATCCCCTCGAAGATGGAAGGGTTCGAATCTCTTGTCCATCTGCTGGAACGGCGCGCAAAGAGACGGCACGCCGACGGAAGCGCTTAGCAGAGCGGGCAAGCGCACACGTCAGGCAGGCGGTGTGCTCTGGGCGGGTCGGGACTTCGCAAGTCTGTGCTGGATCGCATCGCGAAGTCGGATCGGATCGAGAGCGGGTCGCATCGACAGCGAACCGCCCCGAATCGGATCGGTCCCGAATCGCCGCGCCCCGCTTCCAGCGGGCCCTGGCCGGCGAATAGCGTCGGAGCGCATCGGATCGGGATCGAGGCCCCAGCCGGCGTTTCGAATCGCATCGAATCGCATCGCAGGCGGCCCTGCCTGGGGTCTGGCCCAACACGACGCCTCCTCCATGCACGGAGCGGGGACCGCTCTCGATAGACTCGGCACTGGCTTGTTGACTCGCAGCCGATGCCCTCTCCTCGGTTTTCTCTCCTCGTCATCACCCTCTACACCCTCCCTCGTCCTTCTCCGCCCTCTCCCAATGCCACTGTTCCTTGAGCGCTGTGCGCAGGCCACGCTCCTATGCCTCCTCCGTATCATATGCACCCGCATTTTCCCTCGTCTGCGGCCGCGGATGGCTTCTCACTCGATCACGCGCACCCTCGTGTCCATACTCCGCCATCTCCTCCTTGCCTGTGCCACCATTCTTCGAGGAAAGCTCCTCCAAGGAGTGCCCGCGTTCCTAACCTCCCTTTTGCACGCCTCGCTGCTACAGGACATCTCATCGGACGGGCTGTTCCAGAAGGGACGCGCTGCAAGGAGCGATCAAGAGTGAGAACTAGGCTGCGGAGGACTGATCGACGAGGATGGGGACGTGGACGAGGAGGAGCTGGAAGAGGAGAACCAGGATAGGAATGGGAGAGGACATCCTCATAATCGGGGGGGGGGCGATGAGTATGACGCAGAGGTGGCGGCGGCGGCGGCAGCGGATGATGCAGAGGCAGGTGAGGAGGCGGAGGATGCGGCGACGGAGGAGGGTCGGAGTCGGGGGAGCAGGGAACTGCAGTGGTGATGAGGGGGGATGGAGGGCCACAGGGGAGGAAGAGGAGGCGACACAAGGCAGGATAAGCAGGGGAGGGGGAGGCTGACGAGGACAACGCGATGAGTAGGATCACGCGGGCCGCAGGGGGAACGGAGGCCGAGGGGCAGGCTGCGGGGGCACGCGGAGGGGGCCGAGGGAGAGGGGGGGCACGAGCAGGAGCATAGGAGAACACCGAGCAGCTCATGATGATGATGATGGTGATGATGATGCTGCTGCTGATGCTGATGCTGATGCTGATGCTGATGATGATGATGATGATGATGATGATGATGATGATGATGATGATGATGCTGATGCTGATGCTGATGATGATGATGATGATGATGATGATGATGATGATCGGGTAAGGACATAACGGTCTGGGAGCGGTGCTCGGCGCCGCCGTTATAAATCATCATGCGCACACACGGGGCCCTCGGGCCCGGCCGATGGAGGAAGGAGAGTGAGGTGAACACGCTGGTGATGCTGATCATCATCATCATCATCATCATCATCAGCATCATCATCATCATCATCACCATCATCACCATCGTCATCATCATCACCACCACCACCAGCATCACCATCATCATCATCATCATCATCGTCATCGTCAGTATCACCATCATCATCATCATCACCACCACCATCATCATCATCAGCATCGTCACCACCACCACCACCATCATCATCACCACCAGCACCACCAGCACCACCACCACCTCTACCACCATCATCATCATCATCATCATCATCATCATCATCATCATCATCATCATCATCATCATCATCATCATCTTCCGTAGCCATTTTGGCTCAGGCCTTTTCCATAGGCCCCCTGCTCCTGGACCTTGTCCCGCTGAGGGCCTTGGGGAGGCAGGGCTCTTGGCTCACGGAGCGATGGTGGCACGGGATGGCGCGGAGTGCGCGCCAAGGCGATCGGCGGCCCAACGCAGGGCAGGCCGAGAATGGGCGAAGTGGTCCGCCGATAATGCCGTCAGGCGGCTCTCGGGCGAGCTGGCCAAGACCCGATTTCGCCTGGATGCCGCGACGGTGAGGTTTGGCAGCGACTGCAGGCGATGCTCCCCGCGCTGCAGGCCAAGCTTGGGGGTAGGTCCCCCACATGGCTCGAGCGCCTGCGGCGTAATGTCGCCCTCCACGCTGAGGCGCAGGGCGTGGACATCGTGGCGGCGGGAGCGGTGGAGCTGCGCTGTGCCCAGCGGGGGCCCCGGCTGGAGGGGCGCGCGGCGCCCAGGCGCGAGGCCGAGGAGGCTGCAGCTGGGGCGATGCGGGCGGAGGCGCCCTCCCTTTTTCCCGACGGCCTCCTTGGTGCTGTCACGCCCGACCTCGCGCCTGAAGGAGTCGGCCGAGATGGGGGCGTCCGAGCTGCGCGGGCGCGGCGCCACCTCGCGGCAGTCGCCGTGAGCTTCAGGGACTACGTCGACGCTATCTCGGAGGACGGCAGCGAGCAGCTGGAGCCTCTGGATGGCAGGCCGCAGGTGCGGTTGCCTAGGGAGCTCAGGCGCCTGCGAAAGCGCCTTCTTCTACTGGGGCCAGCAGCGGTCCTTCGGGAGCACAGACAGGGGCAGACCCTAAAGGAGGGCAACGGAACTTGGCGCGAGGCCGCAGACATGCGGGTGGCCGAAGCCCTTGACCAGGTCCAGCCTCCACCCTGGGCCGCGGATGCGCGGGTGGCCGAAGCCCCAGAGGAGAGAGGCCCCTCGTCGGCGTCGGGGCGCGGAGACGTCCTTGTGGAGCCCGCTGCTGGGCAGACCCAGAATTGGGGGGGTGAGCTCTGGAGCAAGGCCGCAGACGTGCGGGTGGCCGAAGCCCTTGACCGAGCTCAGCCCCATTCCAGGGCCACGGACGCGTGGGTGGTCGAAGCCCCTGGGACGAGGGCCCCCTCCCAGCGGCTGGCGTCGGGACGTGGAGGCGAGCTCGTGCTCGAGGCCGCAGACGTGCGGGTGGGCGTTTCCCTCGACCGGGCTCAGCCTCCGCTCAGGGCCACGGGCGCGTGGGTGGTCGAGTCCCCTGAGCCGAGCGCCCCCTCCCAGGCGCTGGAGGACCAGAGGGGCAAGCACAAGCGCAAGTTCGGACTGGACCTGGACGAGGACGGGGGCTTCTTCGAGGGCGGGCTGGAGGACCCGAAGGGCCAGTACAAGCGCGAGGTCGGCCTGGGACTGGGCGCGGACGTGAGCGTGTGCGAGGACTGGTCGGAGTGCGGCGGCCTTGGCGGCGGCACAGGCTTCCTGTCTGCGCGCGAGCTCCTGGAGGCGGGGGCCGCCTCTCGGACCGCCCTCGCAGCGGCCAGCATCCTCCTGGGGGTTCCACTCGAGGCCCCGTACCAGCTCGCGGGCGTCGCGGGCTGAGTCGCCGTGACTGCTCGGGTGTCGTTTTCCGTTTGCTTCGGCTGGGGCGGGGGGCGGCTTCTCGGCACTCAGGCGAATCTGCGCGTGTGCCTTGGGCACGAGACCGTGCGTTGCTCCCGCAGGGCCAAAGGGAAACGCCTCGGTCCGAGGGGCAGCACGAGCTAGGAGCTCCTCACCTCTTTAGACGCGTGGATCATCATCAACATCATCAGCATCATCATAATCACCATCATCATCATCATCATCATCATCATCATCAGCATCAGCATCATCATCATCATCATCATCATCATCATCATCATCATCATCATCATGTTCATCATCATCATCATCATCATCATCATCATCATCATCATCATCATCAGCATAATCATCATCAGCATGTTCATCATCATCATCATCATCATCATCATCATCATCATCATCATCATCATCATCATCATCATCATCATCATCATCATCAAAATCATCATCATCATCATCATCAGCTGCGGGAACTGTGCTCCTCACCCCCCTGGGGGGGGGCATCGTATCCGCAATTCCTCCAGATGGGGGCGTCGAGGCCGCTGGGCCCTTCAGGAAGGTGAGGGCGTCAGGCGCTGGCCTTGTGAGCCACAGGCCTAGGAGCCAGAGACGAGGTGGAGGAGCAAGCGGTGGAGGTGGGTGTGCAGGAGGCGATGAAAGACGAGGCCCATGAAGGTATGCCCCACGTGATCGTCAGGGCATGCCGCACGCCGCGGCTGCCTTGGTCGCACGTGCATGCACGCATGCGCCTCGGGGCGCCCCAGCCCAGGGGACAAAGTGCTGGAGGGCCCCCCCGGCCCAGAATGTGGAGGTGGGGAGCGGGAGTGGGAACACCAAGGAAACCTGGGGTCATCCCGCTTCTCCTCCGTCTCCACGTTTCCTCCTCCTCCTGCTCCTCCTCCCCCGCCTCCGTTCCTTCATCCGGCCGTGCTCCTCCACATCTTCTTCGCCGTTGCCACCCTCCTCTTTTCCTCCTCGTCCTCCTCCTCCCCCTCGTCCTCCTCGTCCTCCTCCTCCTCCCCCTCCTCCTCCATCTCCTACTCCTCATCCTTCTGCCTCCTCATCCTTCTGCCCCACGTCCTCATCGTCGACGCCGTACTCGCCGCCTCGTGCCTCGTCGTTCTCCTCCTCATCCTGCCACCTCCACCTCCACATTGACCACCTCCTCCTCCTCCTCCTTCTCCTCCCCCTCCTCCTCACACTCCTACTCTTCCTCTCCTGCCCACTCGCGGCCTGGCGGTGCCACCCGAACATGGGCGATTGCGCGAAGCGGCCGCCGAAGTGCTCCACCTGCGAGGCCAGGATGGCTCTCTCCCTCTCTCTCTCTCTCCCTCTCTCTCCCTCTCTCTCTCTCTCTCCCTCTGTTCTTCTTTTTTTCTCTCCCTCTCTCTCTCTGTCTCTGCCAGCAGTCGCATTGTGAGGTGTCCCCCCCATGCATTCCATCTGCCGTAGACATATGCGGTAATAAACCTTGCGAAAAGACATGATCGCCTGCGTGAGCCCCACACTGTGTGTCTGGCAACAAGTTTTTTGCTGGGGCACAATAGTAACAATGTTTGTGTCACGCTGAGTCGGAGGCCGCACTCGGGAATCGGAGCCGACACGGCTCAACCCAAAGTGAAACACGATCCGATCCACAGAAAGAAGGCAACGCAGGAGCAAACGGAGGAGGAGGAGGAGGAGGAGGAGGAGGAGGACGAGGAGGACGAGGAAAAGCGAGGGGGCTGTCCTGCGTGCGCAACGGATATCTCAACGCGAAACAGAGCGGTGTCGAACCACTATAATAATGAGCCTCGTACAAAGCGTAGGCACAACATGCTCGAAGCACGTTCTGCTTGGATGGTTGCAAGTTTCTACCGTGATCCCCCTCACCATCGCCCGCCCCCCCCCTGGGTTCGTCGAACCTTTCCTGCTTTAAACGACGGCGAACTCAACAAAACAAACATATGAAAGAAGGAGAGGGGAGGAGGACAAATGCTAATCAACATCAAGACATGGCCGTCTAAACGGTCGGAACCGCACGCTGCGCATTGCAATCAAAAACCGTCAGTCGCCCCAGAAGCGGACCGGGTAGGAAAGAGGACAGGCAAACTTGCGCGTGCGTAGGCCGATCTGACTGGACAGCGCCCAGACCGAGGCCCTCGTGAGCACGACCAAGAAAACGGAGCATGGAAATAGTGAGGACACACAGTGGAACTATATGGAGGTACACTGAGAGATAGAACGGCGCATGGCAGGCGGAAGGATGCTTAACTACGCCATGGAACGATGCCCACATACATTATATGTGTTGCCGTTGTCTACACAGCAGTGTTCAATAAAACAGGACCAGCACACCACGAACGAAAGCCCGTTATAAGAAACAATGTTTGAACAAACAGTAGGACACCAAAAAATGTTTGAACAAACAGTGGGATACTTGTCTGCCTCAGGTCGGGCAGACAAGGAGACTGTGAAAGGTTATGAAATCTACTTTGCGAGGTCCACGTAGCAGCGAGCGTGAATACAGCGCAAAGCGCCAGGCAGGAGGGAGGGGGAGGATCACAGCTTGACATCGACCCCAATACATGCCATCGATCTCCACGGGATACTTTCGTAGATGAGCGGTGACGGTCAAGGTGAGTTCTTCATCCTCAACGCGTGCTGCCCTCCGCCTTCATCCCCTGTACACTCGACTTGTGCAGTTGAACGTTCACCTCTGGGCGAAGAACGGGTGGAGCTCGGGGTTCTTCGTGCGACGCAGCCGCCTCGCACTCCACCTCCTTACGTTCTCCTCGTAGCCCTGCAACTCTGCCGCCATGACTTCGAGGACGGGCGCGGCGGGTCCAGCACTGGCCAGCCGCGACCCGTTCCACTCGGCGGCGAACTCGCGGGCGTCCCTGGGGGTGATAAAATTAACAAACGCGTACCCCTTCGTAGTCCGAGCGTGAAATTCTGTTGGTGCGTAGGCGTAATCATAGCGGTTCGCGAAGCCAGACTGGTTCATGAGGACCAGCAGGTCACCCTGCGTCACAGCCATTGGAAGGTTGCGGATCATGAGCGTGGTAATGGTTGGAGCGCCAGGAGCGACGGGCGCTGCTTTCTCGATCGGCACCAGCGCCCTGGCCACGGGCTCACCCTGTTGGAGCTCCAGCTCCGCCAGGTCGGTCTCCAGCTTGAGGATCCCCTGCCTGATCTCCTGCACCTCCTGCTGCAGCTCTGCCTGCAGCTGCTCCAGCTCCAGGAGCCTGGCCCGCTGCACCTCCAGCGCCCCGCCGGCGGCCGCGAGCTTGCCGCCGGAGGCTCCTGCGCGCCCGGCGCAGACCCCGCCCTCGGCGCGGGCGGGCTCCGCCTGCCGGGACCAGTCGCCCAGAGGCCTCCCAGCAGGCGCTGCCCCGGCGGCGGAGCGCGGCGGCATGGCGGGCGCACTGGTCGTCGCTGCTCTGGCGCCGCCGTGGAGCGGGGGAGCGCCGCCAGTTGTCCGAGCCGACGGGCGCTCGTGAGAAGCCGGCTGGGCGGCGCCGGGGCCCGCACAAGTTGAGTCCTGAGCGTTCTTGGGTGGGTTCTCGGGTGCGCGGCCGCCTCTGGTTTGCGAGCGCCCGATCCCGCGCGGGTGGTCGAACTCGTCGTCGGTCTCCAATGGCTCGCTGTCGCTCTGCTCGCAGGGCGGCAGTAACTGCATAGTGGGGAGCGAGTTCACGGTGGACTCCTGCATGGTGGGCAGTGAGTGCATGTTGGGCAATGAACCACAAGTGCCATCTGAACCTTGGTATGGTGCGGACGAGGCTATGTTGGGGTAAGACGCGAAACATCCATAAGTACCCGTTGTTGACGTGGCCATAGGGACACTCTGACTGGTGGAATTACATATTACAGGCGGGACGCAGAAGCCGCAAGCGTTGCAAGTGGCGCTGGGGATGCCACTTTGAACAGGCTGAGACGTTCCCCGCCTCGTTGGCGAATCCATCGTTGTAGAGCAAAACGTAAGCTGTAGAAGAGAAGTCGGTCCAATCGCCTGGATCAAAACGTTGAGCTAGAAGGTATACTTGACACCCAACCGCTTGAGCCAAAATGACGACGGAGTGTGTCTGGCAATAAGTGCCGTGCAACCCACGTGGAGCAATCTAGATTGTAGGTTGTGCAATCTATGCTGTGAAATTTATGTGGTGCAATATACGTGGTGCAATTCACTTTGACTGTCTTGGAACTGTCCTCTCCACTGCTCGTGCAACCATCCCACCCTCCCTCCCGCAACTTGGTCGCGAGACTTCTGAAGACCGTGACGGTGGGTACCACATGGCACTTGGCGACGACAGCGACGCCGACGACAGCGACAACGACGACGACGACGCAGACTACGACGACATCGACGACGTCTCCGACGACGACGACGACAACGACAACGACGACGACGACGACGACGACGGCGGCACCGACGACGACGATGACGACGACGCCGACGCCGCCGACGACGACGACGACGATGACGACGCCGACGAAGACGGCGGCGACGAGGACTCCGACGACGGGGACGACGACGTCGACGACGACGGCGACGTCGACGCCGACGACGACGACGAAGACGACGACGACGACGTCGCCAAGGAAGACGACGACGAGACGAGAGAGGAGGGAGGACGACGACGGCGACAACGACGACAACGACGACAACGACAAGGGAGGAGGGAGGACGGCGACGACGCGAACGACGAATAAGGAGGAAGGACGGCGACGCCGACGACGACAACGACGAGAGAGGAGGGAAAACGACGACGACGACGACGACGGCGACGAAATAGGAGGGACGACGACGAGACGCCGACGACGGACGACGACGACGAGGGAGGATGAAGGACGACCACGGCGACAACGACGACGGAAACGACGACGACGCCAAAGAGGACAACGACGACGACGAAAGACAGAGGACGACGACGGCGACGACGACGAGGGAGGAGGGAGGACGGCGACAACGACGACGACGACGACGGCGACGCAAGAACGCGCGCGCACGCTTTGGTTGAACATCCGCGTTGCGAAACCCATTGATTTTGTATGGTTGTTTGGACACTTGGCTTTGAAACCATTCCAAACCGAAGGTTTTTGAAGGATTTCGGCATGCGTGCGCGACGACGCGCGGGCGTGCACTTCGTCCCGTTTTTTGCAAAGAATTTTCGCGACGGCACGCGCGCAAGGGCGTTCGAACGGTTTTGACATGCGCGCGCGCGAAGCCCGTTTGGTAGGTTGTGGTTTTGGAAAAAAGTTGGCAAGCCGATGGTTTTCTTAAGATTTCGCGAGAGCGCGCGTGTAAGCATTTTTAGAACATCAGTGTTGCGAAACCCTGTGCTTTTGTATGTGTTTTGGACACTCGATTTTGACATCCGTCCGAAACCGAAGGGTTCTGAAGGATGTCGGCATGCGTGCGCCACGACGCGCGCGTGCGCATTTCGTCCCACTTGTTGCAAGAGATTTTTGGAAATTTCTGATATCTGATGAACAAAAATGCGCGCATAGTATTTTCTGCAGAAGATGGCGGCGGGGGGGCCGATACCGGTTTGGCTGGGATAATATGAATTCACAGGTAGGATGGACATTTGGTCAGAACCCTATGTTTTTTGCATCGGTTCACGTGGGATCTTTAAACCCGGGGGAGGGTGGTAGAACCTATGTTCTTTTTAGACAAGAGAGTGCATGCTGTGCACTCTATGTGGTGCAACACCTACTGTGCAATCCATGTGGTGCAACCTATGCGGTGCAATCGATTGCGCAAGCTGTGTGGTGCAAGTGGTGCAACAGTGGTGCAATCGACGTTGTGACATCTACGTGGTGTAACCTATGTGGTGCACTATATGGCGTGCACCCAGTGCGATGCAGCATATGTTGTGCAATCCATGTGATACAATACATGCGGTCCAATGCATGATGAGCAAGCTACATGGTGCAACAAATGTTGTGCAATATGTATGGTGCGATCTATGTGTGCACACTATGTGGTGCAACCTACGTTGTGCAATCCATGTGGTGCAATCTACGCAGTCCGATAAATGTTGCGCAAGTTGTGTGATGCAGTCTATGTGGTACAACCTATGGGGTAAAATATTAGTGGTGCGCTCTATGCGGTGCAATCAACCACTTGCTCAACTTGAAGCTGTCCTGACCACGGCTCGTGCAAACATCCCACCCTCCCACCCGCAGTTGGGCACGACCTCTTAAGACCGTGACGGCAGGTACCAAATGGCACTTGGCAACGACACCGACGCCGACGGCGACAGCGACAACGACAACGACGACGACGACGGCTACGATGACGGCGACGACGTCTCCAACGACTTCGACTTCGACGACGACGCCGACGCCGACGACGACGACGACGATGACAACGCCGACGACGACGACGCCGACGTCGCAGACGCCGACGACAACGACGACGACGACGAAGACGACGACGACGTCGCCAACGAAGACGACGACGACGAGGGAGGAGGGAGGACGACGACGGCGACAACGACGACAACGACGAGGGAGGAGGGCGGACGGCGATGGCGCGAACGACGGAGAAGGAGGGAGGACGGCGACGCCGACGACGACAACGAAGAGGGAGGAGGGAGGACGACGACGACGATGACCACGACGACGACGACGGCGACGAAATAGGAGGGGCGACGACGAGACGCCGACGACGGACAACAACGACGACGAAGGAGGAGGAAAGACGACCACGGCGACAACGACGACGGAAACGACAACGACGAGGGAGGGGGGAAGACGACGACGACGACGACAACGACGACGACGACGACAACAACGAGGACGACGACAACGACGACGACGAAAGACAGAGGACGACGACGGCGACGACGACGACGACGAGGGAGGAGGGAGGACGGCGACGACGACGACGACGACGGCGACGCAAGAGCGCGCGCGCACGCTTTGGTTGAACATCCGTGTTGCGAAACCCATTGATTTTGTATGGTTGTTTGGACACTTGGTTTTGAGATCCTTCCGAAACCAGAGGTTTTTGAAGGATTACGGCATGCGTGCGCGACGACGTGCGGCGTGCACTTCGTTTTTTTTTTGCAAAGGATTTTCGCGACGGCACGCGCGCAAGGGCGTTCGAACGATTTGAACATGCGCGCGCGCGAAGCCCGTTTGGTAGATTGTTTTTTTTTTTGAAGATGTTGAAAACCGATGGTTTCTCAAGATTTCGCGAGAGCGCGCGTGAAAGTGTTTTTAGAACATCAGTGTTGCGAAACCCTGTGTTTTTGTATGTGTTTTGGACACTCGATTTTGAAATCCGTCCGAAACGGATGGTTTTTGACGGATTTCGGCATGCGATCGCCACGACGCGCGCGTGCGCACTTCGTCCAATTTGTTGCAAGAGATTCTTGAAAACCTATGATTTTGATAAACAAGTTTGCGCGCTTAGAATTTGTTGCGGAGGATGGCGGGGGGGGGTCGATACCGGTTTGGTTGGGATAATCTGAGTTCACAAGTAGGGTGGACATTGTGTCAGCATCGTACATGTTTTGCGTCGGTTCCCGGGGGATTTTCAACCCCAGGGGGGGAGGGGGGATAACCTATACTCTTTTAGAAAGGCAGATCCATGTAGTGCAATTGATTGTAACAAAAGAATTTACACATCCCGCGATCTTGCAAACATACCACCCACCCACCTGCAACTTGGTTTGCAAAACCCACGACGATGACGATGACGACGCCGACGACGACGACAACGGCGATACCGACGACGACGACGTCAACGACGCCGCCGACGACGACGACGACGACGACGACGACGACGTCGACGACGACGAAGATGACGACGACGCCGACGCCGACGCCGACGAAGACGACGACGTCGCCAACGAAGACGACGACGAGACGAGAGAGGAGGGAGGACGACGACGGCGACAACGACGACAACGACGAAGGACGGCGACGACGCGAACGACGAAGAAGGAGGAAGGACGGCGACACGAACGACGACAACGACGAGGGAGGAGGGAAGACGACGACGACGACAACGACGAGGACGACGACGACGACGGCGACGAAATAGGAGGGACGACGACGAGACGCCGACGACGGACGACGAAGACGACGAGGGAGGAGGAGGAGGAGGAGGAGGAAGGACGACCACGGCGACAACGACGACGGAAACGACCACGACGCCAAAGAGGACGACGACGACGAACACAAGGAAAGACAGAGGACGGCGTAGGCGACGACGACGACGACGCGGGAGGAGGGAGGACGGTGACGACGACGACGACGCAAGAGCGCGCGCGCACGCTTTTGTTGAAAATCCGTGTTGCGAAACCTTGGGTTTTTGTAGGTTGCTTGGACACGCGATTTTGAAATCGTTCCGAAACCGATGGGTTTTAAAGGATTTCGGCACACGCGCGCGACGACGCACGCGTCTGCACTTCGTCCATTTGTTGCAGAGGATTCTCGCGACGGCACACGCGCAAGGGCGTTCGACAGATTTCGACATGCGCGCGCAACCCGTTTAATGGCATGTTGTGAAAATCTTGAAATACCCATAGTTTCCTTAAAATTTCGCAAGAGCTCGCGCGGAAGTTGTTTTAGCAAATCAGTGTTGCGACACCCTGTGTCTTTGTATGTTTGTTTTGGACACTCGATTGCGAAATCCTTCCGGCACCGAAGGTTTTTGAAGGATTCCGGAATGCGCTCGCGACGACGCGCGCGTGCGCACTTCGTCGAATTTTCGCTAAAGGATACGTGAACAAAATTATATGTTAGAACAACAAATGTCACCGCATAGTGTTTTTTTTTTTTTTTTTTTTTATAAAAAAAAAAGGAACCCCAGGGGGGGATACCGGCTGGCCTGGGACATTGCGATTTCATATTTAAGATGGACGCGTGGTCAGAATCATATATGATTCACATACCCGTGAGGGGATCGATAACGCCGCGGGGGGGGGGTAGATCCTATTTTATTTTTAGAAAAGAGAATTCGCTTGACGAGCTTGAAATTGTCAACTCCATTGCTCGCGCAATCATCCCACCCACCCACCCGCAACATGGTTTGCAATACCCATGCGGAAGCGATTGCGATGAGTGCTTGGTGTTGGCTGGTGCATCTCTGCGGCAGCGCTAACCCGAGCATGCTCGCGCGCGCAAGAGTCAGCTAGTTTGGCGCCGCCGACGCGGACGCGGTGGCGCTGACCGTTCGGCACATCCCAGCGGGCACTTCAGCGCGAGTCGGCGTTTTGGGCGGCCGCGGTATCATGGCAACGTCGACAACGGTAGACACGAAGATGATAATAACGATGTTTTTGACGATGCTGACGGTGACGACGGGGCAGCCAGTGACGGCGCCGATGCTGATCACGCCGACGATGATGACGGCGCCTTCGCGTCTGTGATGAAGGTTATGGAAGAAGTTCGAAATGCGCGCGCGGCAGACGCGCGAGAGTGGCCCGCATGGTATTATTTGACGCGGGTCGTACCACCCCATCACGCGCGCAAGGACGTTCGAACGCGCAAAACCCGCTTTGTAGCATGTTATGAACATGTTGAACATGCATGCTTTCCTTCAGAATTCGCAAGACCGCACGCACGCTTTTGTTGCAAACCCGTGTTGCGCAACCATGTGTTTTTTGTGTTTAAATGTTGCGTGGGCAACCGATTTTGAAATCCTTCCGACGACGCGCGCGTGCGCACTTCGTCCCATGTGTTGCAAGGGATTTCTTGGAAACGAATGACTTGCTGATAAGCGAGCGTGCGCGCATACACGTCGTTCATGTCTACTCGTGCTCATTCCTGGCCCCCTGGTGGCCAGGAAGAGGCCCAGGACAGAACAATTAGAAATGAAAAGATCCTGGCCCCCAAACAAAAAATCAAAGAGCCTTCGAGGAATTAGATATGAACCGTGCGTGGCATTTTTTGAACAGGAGGAGCCGAGGGGGGGCCAAAACCGGTCCGGCTGGGACAGCACGAGTTCACAGGTCGGATGGGCACCGGGTCAAAACCACACGGTGGGGGCACTGGATACAGTGTGGGCGCGGCCGCAAGAAACCCTCAAAAAACCCAGTCTCGAAAGCCCGCGCGCAGGGTGCACCCGAAGGGAAGCCTGGAGCACCCTCCAACGGCTGCGGGAAGTCTCCGCGCAGCGCGCGGAGCAAAGAAACCCAGGGCACCCTGAAGAGAAGTAGATGGTCTCCTGATGCGCGCCCCCACTGTAAGGAAGCGTTGGATAACGAATCGAGGATCGCGGAACAGAGGAGCGGCAGGGCAGGGCAGAGGCTACCCGCTGGACACGGTGGGGGGGCATTGGATAAGGAAGCGTTGGATAAGGGATCCAAGGTCTGGAAACCAGCGGAACTCCAATCGCGGATCGGCAGTGGATATCACCGCCGCCCTCATCAGATAAGGAACCCGCCAGGGTCTGAAGCCTCCTGGGCACATTCCTGAACCAACGCCCCCGGTATGAATTCACAGGTCGAATGGACATTGGGTCTGAACCACATGTGGCCCCCAGCCTGCCCCAAGAACACCCCGAGAGGCCCTGAGGGACCCCCAACAGAACCTCAAAGGCCTCCAGAAAGCCCCTAAGAGGCCCCCAGGAGGCCCCCAAGCTTGGCCCAAGATGCCCTGTGGCGGCCGGGTACGGCCTGCTGACAAGCCAAAGCGCCGCCAAAATGCCACCAAAGAGCACCGAGAGGTACGATAACGGCAACGAAGTAACAAGAACGATGTCGAGCGCCGGACGCCCCCAAGAGGCCCCAAGAGGCCCCCAAGAGGCCCCCAAGGGGCCCCAAGAAGCCCCCAAGAGGCCTCCAAGAAGTGTCCAAGAAGCCTCCAAAATGCCCCATAGAAACCCCCCAAAGCCCACACAGCGACTGGAGTGTACTGTCATTTTTCCCCCTGGGCGAAGTGCGGCGCAGCGCCAGCCAGGTGGAAGTTGGTCACGGCGGCACCCATGATTAGAGCTGGCGCTGGACGGGGATATGGGGAGGGAGTATGAAAAGGAGGGAGGGGGGAGAGGCCCCAAAGACATCCCCAAGAGGCTCAAAGAAGCTCCCAAGAGGCCTCCAGGAGGCCCCCAAAAGGCTCCCAAGAGGCCCCGAGACGACGTGACCAAGAAGGTACAGGATGGCCTCAGGAGGGCAACAAAAATTAGCCTGGCGAGTGACCCAACCATATGCAGTTGTGGGTACCGCAAATAAGAATATCGTTTTCGGTGGCGCTACCTCTGGGTAGGGGAGACGCATGCGAACACCCCCACTGGTGCCTTCGGTGGAGCTCCCTATGGGGCAACGAAGCGCTGCCCTGGGTGGGGGAACCGCACGCGCCCACCCCCAATGGGGCATTCGGTGGAGCTCCCTATGGGGCCACGAAGCGCTGTCCTGGGGGTGGGCGACGCATACGCTCCCCCCCCCTCCCCCTTACTGGGGCCTCCGGTGGAACTCCCTGTGGGGCCACGAAGCGCTGCCCTGTGTGGGGGAACCGCATGCGGGCAGCCCCCACTGGGGCCTTCGGTGGAGCTCCCTGTGGGGCCACGAAGCGCTGCCCAGGGTGGGGGAACCGCACGCGCCCCCCCCCCACTGGACCTCGGTGGGGCTCCCCATGGGGCCACGAAGCGCTGCCCTGGGTGGGGGAACCCCGTGCGCCCCCCCCCCACTGGGACCTTCGGTGGAGCTCCCCATGGGGCCACGAAGCGCTGCCCTGGGTGGGGGAACCTCATGCGCCCACCCCCACTGGGGCCTTCGGTGGAGCTCCCTGTGGGGCCACGAAACGACCCCCACTGGGGCCTTCGGTGGAGCTCCCTATGGGGCCACGAAAGCGCTGCCCTGTGGGGGAGGCGCATGCGCCCATCCCACTGGGGCCTTCGGTGGAGCTCCCTATGGGGCCACGAAAGCGCTGCCCTGGGTGAGGGAAACGCATGGGGGAACCGCATGCGCCCACCCCCACTGGGGCATTCGGTGGAGCTCCCTATGGGGCCACGAAACGCTGCCCTGGGTGGGGGAACCGCATGCGCCGACCCCCACTGCGGCCTTCGGTGGAGCTCCCTGTGGGGCCACGAGACGCTGCCCTGGGTGGGGGAACCGCACGCGCCAACCCCCACTGGGACCTTCGGTGGAGCTCCCTATGGGGCTACGAAGCGCTGCCCTGGGTGGGGGAACCGCATGTGGACACCCCCACTGGGGCCTTCGGTGGGGCTCCGTATGGGGCTACGAAGTGTGCCCTGGGTGGGGGAACCGCATGTGGACACCCCCACTGGGGCCTTCGGTGGAGCTCCCTATGGGGCTACGAAACGCTGCCCTGGGTGGGGGAACCGCATGTGGACACCCCCACTGGGGCCTTCGGTGGAGGAGGGAAGGAAGGAAGGAAGGAGAGGAACGCGGGGCGCCGTCTCTTTAAAACGAAGACCCTGGTTGGGAAAAACAGACGCCCCAAGAGGGCGCCAAGAGGACCTCCAAGAGCGCTTCCAGAACAAAAATCATCCATTTCCCATTGGGTTTTGAAAGATTTGGGCGTTCTCGCCTTTGTCGACTCCCCGAGCCCCAAGACGGCCCAAGACGCCCCGACGAAACTCCCGAGAACCCCCAAAACGACTTGACTGTACGCACTCCGGACGTGCACCCCGCGAAGCGAGAAGAATCATATGTGTTTTGCATCGGTTCCCGGTGAATCGAGAAGTCCGGGGGGGAGGGTGGTAGAACCCATCTCCTAGAGCGGCGACGAGTCGGCGACGGGGCGCTGACGGCGGCCACATTGCCGCCAGACCGAAGACGCGGCCCAGACGGCGGGCGGCGACGATGCGGCAACGGGGGCGGCGACGGCGGCCACATATCCGCCAGACCGAAGGCATGCCCCCGTTCCTCAGAACAGAAGTGCGAACCCCTACGTGCAACTACTGTTTGAGGACTATTGAAATGCCCCAGATCATCGGTGGGTCCCTGAGGTTATCGGGGGAACAGAAATGTCCGTGGGACACCTGCTGGCGGGCCAATGTCTTATCTTACGTGCCCAGTGCAGTGGAGACCGGTAACAAGAACCCTTCCACAAGAAGCCCAACCCTGAGACCCGAGGACCTCCCTGGACGTTTGGTGTGGGGACGTCACGTTTTCCATCGCAAAACCATCGGAACCAAAGAAACCCAAGGCGCCCAGGAGGCAAGCAGAGTGATTCTTGGCACGGGTCTCCACAGCATTGTAACTCTCATTGGAGGAAAAGGGGATGGAGGAGGGGGACGAAGGCGGCGGAAAACAACGTTGGGAACGGAAGGGCGGGGGGGGAGAGGGACGATTGCCCACTGCCCATCTGATACTGCTTCGAGGGTGCTCTCTTCCATGAGCGGCGTGCCTGAGGCCAAGCGCGAGGCGACAGGGAGGTAATCAGTCCGCCAAGAGGTGGCCCCAAGAAACACGAGCCCCCAGGAAAACCATCTGAGTAGCCAAGAAAGCTCAACAAAAGCGCCCAAACTGGCCCGACACAGGGGAACCGACACGCCAGACTCTTCGCAAGCCAAGGAATCGCTTCAACGGAAAGCTGCTCGCGTCCAAGCGCCCCCTTCCTGAACTTTCCACCCCGCCCACCGCCCCTCCATCTCCGTACCCTCAGCCTTATACTCCTCCATCTCCTCCCCCTCCCTCTCACTCCCTTCCTCCTCGTCCTCCCTGTCGTCGAAGTCTTGATTCCTCGTCCACCCCCCCTCTCTGGCTACGATCCCGTCGGCCGGCCACCGGAATTCCGTCGGACAGATGTCGGCGAAAGTCCAGCCCCGCCCGCCTCAAGAAGGCCATCCTCGGGCGCGCGCGCCCCGCAGTGACGCCAAGGATCTGGTGCACGGGGGGCGCGGGCCATCTGCTCGAAGGTGGGGCAGAGGCGGGGTTCGCAGAGGAGGGGCTGGCGAACCAGCACCACGTCGATGGCCCCCCAGGCACCCCGAAGAGGGGGCCGGCGAATCTGCAGCGCGCCGCCTGGAGAAGGCCCTGGAGGAGATGAGGGGGATGCGGGAGGTTGAGGCAGAGGCACCCCAGGAGGAAGGCAGAGGCACTGCAGAGAGTGTGCCAACCTCTGGTGCAGCATCCTACGAAACCTCGTACGATTGCTCGTGAAGCTCAAAACTGCGGAGTGCCAGGACCCGCTGCGTATTTCCTGCTGCGTTTAGGTTCTGCAGGGCCATCTCCCGAATCCCAGCGTCACTTCTGGGATTCCGCATGTTCATAAATGTTCGGTGTCCCGCACGATCCAAACAAGAAGCAACGGGGGCAACAATCAAAAGACGGTGTTCCGCCACTGGGAAGGACCGTGCTGGACGATCAGATCCTGCCAGTGACGATGGCGAGCAGGCCTAGATCCCAATGTCCGACTCTTCGCCCAGGGCGCCGCTGCGTGACGGCCACCCTCGGGCATTTTCTTACGGTCAGGAGCTGTCGCTTAGCATGCCGCGGCGAAAGGCCCCTTCGAGACGTGCTGCGCCCTGCAAGCGTATGGTGTCGCTCTGCTCACCGTGGCGGGTGGCTCGGAAATACACCACGAAAATATTACATTGACACCCTACGACGAATTTTGCATGTACCTTCAGGGAAGGTGGCGGTGTACAAACTCGCTGGCTCTCCATGGTAAATTATACACCACCACCCTCCCCTGAGGCCCAGGAACAATCCACTGGAGGGTGTCTGTGTGTGTATCATGTGGCGGAGGACCTTGACGCTCGGGGGTTGGGAAGTGGATGGCCTGTCGCGCCGGAGCGTACGCTGCGCAAAAGCTCCCGACCGCCATCGCCATCCTACATCCACGAGGTCGCAGCCCGAGCGCAGAGCCAGGCCGCCCAAGAGGAGGAGGAGGAGGAGAAGGAGGAGGAGGAGGAGGAGGAGGAGGAGGAGGAGGAAGTATGGTATGGTATGGGGTTGGGCGGACAAAAGTCCACCTGCCGACGCGGCGACTCGCAAGCGGGGGAGGCGACGAGGAGCCCGAGGGCCACACCAGACCGGTGCACCCCAGCGACAGACCTCCCAGGAGGGGAAAACCGTGGCCAAGGCCCCACCACCCCCGCGGGGACGGAGACCCACGGGCAACCGAACGCAGCCACCAGGGCCGCACCCAGGACCCCGCGGCCCAAACGAAGCAGCCCCCAGGCCACTGCCACTGCTCGCCCCTATCGCATGCGCAAATTAATCTCAGCGTTGTAGCTGATGATGTTGGGCTCATGCTTCGCCTCCTGCATTCCGCTCAGCAGCGACAGAGCCCGCTGCCACTGCTCGCCCTTCTCGCACATCGTGCTCAGAAGCGCCAGCGCATGCTGTCACTGCTCGCCCTTTTCGCACGCGCTGACCCCAACGTTGTAGCTGATGATGTCAGGCTCCAGCTTCGCTTCCCGCATTCCCCTCAGCAGCGCCAGGGCCCGCTGCCACTCCTCGCCCTTTTCGCACGCGCAGATCCCAGCGCTGTAGCCAGTGACGTTGTGACTAAGCTTTGCCTCACACATCTCGCTCCGCAAAACCAGCGCCCTCTGCCACTGCTCTGCCTTCTCGCACGTGCTGATACCAGCGCTGTACCTGATGACGCTGAGCAACACCATCGCCCCCCCCCCCACCACACACACACACACACATCTCACTCAGCAACGTCTGCACTGGCTGCCACTGCTCGCCCCTTTCCCACGCGCTGGTCCCAGCGCTGTAGCTGACTACGGCTGACCCGTGGACTCCGTCCACGACATCTTTCTGGAATGGTTTTCGGAGGAACGGCGCAGATTGTACCGAAAATCTACAAACACGGCGGCGGCTCGGGCGGTGGCAGCGAGACCGCGCCTTCCTGTCCGAGCTCTTGCAGGGCTCCAGCAGCTTGGCGCAGCACACTGCTCGTTAACCCCCCCCTCCTATGGAGGGCAGTTTCGAACTCTCTCGGGGATGTGCGTCGAAGTCGAAGCCCATCTGAGGCGTCTCAGGAGCGCCCAGGGAAGGGTTCGGGAGGCCATCGGGGAAAACCACGGAAAACGCCTGGGAGGCTCGCAAGGATCTATCTACAGGGAGGGCCCAAGAGAGCTTAGGAAACTTTGTAATTCTGTAAAATCTTTAGAGAAACCGCTGTTGGGTCGGCCATCACCTCCGGGCACGCCTTGATGGTGCGATCCAGTCGCATCACCGCCAACGGGAGGGTTTGTTCGCCATGTACCATTCTGTTCGCCCGCTGGGTCTGTGGAGGCCTTCGGGCGAACAGAACGGGACAGGGCAAGGAATGGGGAAGACTTGTCCGAATCCCCTGGGCCCCCCAGGTGCTCGTCCGAAGAATGCGGAGAGGTCCCTGGGTCATATCAAGTGGCTGCTGTCCCAGGGGTCCAGTCTGGTTGGCCCGAAGAGTTTGCCAAGGCCCCTGGGGAAACAGAATGGCACAGCGGGGGCGGTAGCTGGCCTGTCAGACCCGGCGCTCGTCTTCTGCCCAAGCGGCGCGGGGCCCACGGGCCCCAGGGTTGGCGGCCCGCTGGGTTTCCTCTTGTTCGCCCACAGGGTTGGAGGAGGCCTCCAGGCGAACAGAATGGGGCAGGACAATGAATGTGGGAGACTTGTCGCAAGCTCCCAGCCCCCCCAAGTGTTCGCCCGAAGGGTGCGGGGCCGCGTTGGCTCCCTCAAAGGGCCGTCTTGGAGCCGTCTAGGCTCGTCTTGAGGGCGCCGTTTGCCGTGATGGGGCCGTTTTGGTTCGTCGTGGGCCCCTCATGGGCGCGTCCGTAGGCCGTCCTGGGCCCATCGGGGTCCTTGTTGGCACTATCGTGGGCCTGTCTTGGAGCCGTCTGGGACCGTGAGGGGGCCGCCTTGGAGTCGTCTTGGGCCCCTCCTCTGCGCCTCCTTGGGCCGTCCTGGGCCCAGCAGGGGCCGTGTGTTGGTACCCTCTTGGGGCTGTCTTGGAGCCGTCTTGAGCCGTCGCGGCGCGCCTTGGGTTGTGCTGGGTCCGTCTTGGCCCGTCATGAGGCCTTCCTGGGCGTTTCCTCGGACCCTCCTGGGACTTTCTGGGGCCTCTTGGTGCATCGGACCGCCGAAATGGCGGGAAACGCAAAGGGTGTCACAATAAACAGTGGAGAATTAACGATTTTTGCCAGCTGGAGCTCTCTTGCCATCTTGGCCCGTCTTGAGGCCCCGACCGGGCGCGTCCTTGGGCCGTCCTGGGCCCACCCTCCTGGGACCGTCTTGGGGTCGTCTTGGGCCGTCTTGAGTGCGCCTTGGGCCGTCCTGGGCCCGTCTGTGGCCGTGTTGGCACCCTCGCGGCGAGGAAGCTCGGAGGCGGGCTCGGGGCCTCTGTGGGGCCAGTTTGGAGGCTGTTGGGGCCTCTGTCGGGGCCTCGTTTGGGCTCCTTGAGGGATTCCTGGGGCTTCTTCGGGGGATTCTTGGCGGCCCCTTGGGGCCTCTTGGGGGCCTGTTTGGGCCTCCTGGCGCCCTCTTGGGGCGGAAGGCTCGGATTTTCGGTCCGTGGTCCCCCTCTTGGCCACCTCTTTGGCCTGTCTTCGGGCCCTCGTGGGCCGTCTTGAGCGTCTCTTGGGTCGTCTTGGGGCCCTCTTGGGCCGTCTTGGGGCGCTCTTGGAGGCCTCTTGGGCGGTTCTGGGGCGCTCTTGGAAGCCTCTTGGGCCGTCTTCGAGCGTCGGAAAGTGGAAAAGGCGAGAAGGCCAAAATGCTTCCTGAACCGTCGTAAAGTGGATGATTTTGGCCGCTCGGGGCCCTCGAGGAATACGCTTGCAGGCCTCTTGTGCCGTCTGGGCGGCCTCTTGGAGCGCTCTTTGGGCGTCTCGGGGGCTCCTTGAGCTGTCTTGGGGGCCTCTTGGGGCCTCCGGAGCCTCTCCGGAGCCGCCCGGGGCGTCTTTAAACCGCGCCGCCTGGGGCCGGGTCGTCGGAGGAGCCCCCCGACCCCCGCCCCTCTCAGACGCGCGTATGCCTGCAATGTAGTAGAGATGACGTTGGGCAACGCCTTCGCCTCCCACACGTCGTCCGCGGCCCCCACGGTCTCGTGCGGCGGCGCGGCCACGTACAGCTCCGGCGGCGCGGCCACGTACAGCTCCTCCAGCGCGATGGCCACGGCCACCGCTGTGAGCTCGGCCTCCTCCTCGACCACGGCCGACGGCAGCTCCCCAGTCTTGGCCGTCAGCTCGTCCATGCGCGAGTCGCCCGTCCCGTCGACCTCGAAGCACGCCTCGAAGTCGAAGGCCGCAGCTTCGCCGTCCAGCTCGGACATGCTGAACGTGGGCACCCCGGACGCCCGCAACCCCGCAAGGAAGGTGGCGATGATGTCCTCCTCGTCGTCGCGCACGCACTCCGCCAGCTTCTGCTCCTTCAGCCCGCCGCACCGCGCCCCCGCATGGGGCTGCCTCGGCTGTGTCCCACAGAGCGGCACCACTGCCCACGCGCTCGGCGCACGTCTTCGCCGCCCCATCGCTAAGAGACCTCACAACGACCTTGGCTCTCGGGCACGAGCCGTTTCCAAGTACGTGCCCGAAGCTCTCCTGGGCCGCGCTCGGGAGGGAAACGGCTAGGAGGAGGAGGAGGAGGAGGAGGAGGAGGAGGAGGAAGAGGAGGAGGAGGAGGACGAGGACGAGGAGGAGGACGAGGAGGACGAGGAGGACGAGGAGGAGGAGGAGGATGAGGAGGAGGAGGCGCGCCTTCGTCGCCCGGTCCATCCCCGACTGCCCGCCTCCTCATCTGCGCGAGGCCCAGCCGTGCTCCCCTCCCCTGCAGAGTGCACGCAGACTCTTGTCGTTCTCCCCTGCTCCTCTCTGTCTCCCTTTTTGGGCGCTAGGCGGGCTTCGATGGCTACGATTGCAGCGTCTGTGCGCAGTACTCGCATGCCCCAAAAAAGCCCAGAGCGTGCGAACGATAGCATGCTGCGCAGAGCGTGCCGCAAGGACAACAAAGGTAAGATATAAAGTGGAGAACAGGATGTCTGCAGTGGGACTTTGCCAGGGCATCCCCGACAGATGAGGCACAAGCAAGAACCACTGTCCCCCTGCTCCTCCTCCTCCCCTCTTGTTGTGGCACGGCTGCGACAGTCAATGTACAATGCCCTCCACTGCAGACAACCTGATCGCTCTCTCCTGCGTCTCCCTCGTCCCCCTGGTTCTCTGCGAAGTCTTCATGTTGCACGTGCTGCTTCTTGTGGCAGCACTGTGGCCCATTCGATTCTCGGCTCGATGAGCTGATTGCAACACGTTCAATCACCGCGCGCTCTGGGTTTTACGGTTTGGGCTGTCCCCATCTTCCAGGAGCATCCAGCAGCGTCCGCTCCTGCATCCTCCTCATCCCTCTTGTGCGTGGAATCCACAGAGACAGACAATTCACGGTCAGCAGGAAGAAACACATGATTGACGTGTCGCTGCCGCAGGCCCTTCGAGACGCTGAGCCCTGCGAGCTGACAGCATGTCGCTTCGCTCCGCGGAACAAGAGACCTGGAAAACATATAACGCTGATGGCCGTGGACTGGGGCGCGGTCAGCGTGTCGCACTGAGACGTGGTGGGCCATAACCGGCGGAGCGAGACGCGAAGCAAAAGTTCACGACCGAGGCGACAACGCTGTGCCACCCCGTCCGCCTCCCTGCGACCTCGAAGGCGCGAAGCTGCACACAGGGACGCTCACGGCTCGCACTGCGGCGGTAGCCGAGGCAACCCAGCAACAGTGCCAGAGCCCAGCAGGAGGGTGCATGATACAGTCAACCCGTATCATGAGGATGCGCGGTAAGGATGCAAGGGCCTTAGAAGGCCAAGTTGACGTTTTTGGAACGAGGTTGGCCAGTGAAAGTCGCTAAGGATAGGCCGAAGGGGTAAGGATGCAAGGGAGGCAGCCCATCCTTCCTATGCGGGTTGGCTGTAAGGGTCCACGACCGTTGGGGCGTCCGCAGGAGCGCTGCGCTGCGCACACGGAGGCTTCATGCGGAGGGGGCTGGCCATCGAATCTGGTGGAGAGCGGGCCGAAAAACCACGGCCGTTCCTGCACACGCATCTCGTTTCTACGGACTCTCTGGCTCTGCTCGACTGCCACAATGACCAATGCCGGAAACTTTTATCTGACTGGTGCTTACCGTTGCCGTCCAACACTGTGATGCACTCAGAGACGAAGCAAAGGACAGCACGGGTCTACCATCGAAACGCCCACAGCAAGAGGCGAGCAACAGGGACATAACAACACGTCCACAGAGGCAGATGCCGCGCTCAAAGGTCCCGGCTGCCGAGCTCGCATCTTTCTGCGCGTCGAAGCGCAAGTTAAAACTCCACACCCCCACGAGAGCGCCGTCCTTAGTGGCTCGTGGCGGCCCAGCGTGCTGCAATTAAGGCCAGTACGGCCCAGTCCACTGCGAGTAGAAGCGGTAGTTGTGGTAGCGTTGGTGCTGGTACTAGTAGTGGTGCTGCGAGTGCCAATAGTGATGGCAGTAGTGCTGGAAAGAGGCGGAAAGGGGCGGCAGCCTGGCACTCCTATCCATCGGGTTGCCGATATCAAGAGCCAGCGATCGCAAACACCCCGCCGCGACCGCAAGATCTGGGCCCATGGCGATGGCGACGAGAGGAATGAGCTGAGCCAAGGGGAGGGGGGCTGCCTCAGGGGAGAGGCACCGTCGGCGTGCCATCGAGGAGACGTCGCTGGCAGGCCGCCCATCGTGGAACGCAAGGTGACAGGGCAGGGTGGGGTCGGGCACCCGAGCTCCGATCGGCCATGCGTCGGCGATTGGGGGGTCGACGGTTCCCCACGTCGTGTTTTTGTTTCTCTCTCTCTCCTTCGCAGGGTGGACCCCCTCGACTACACGCAAGAGTGACCCTGGGTAAGAGTGTCCTTTGGTGCGCGGCTTTTGGGGGGGCCGCGCGGGAACCAAACACAAGCGCGCAAGACGCTACCATCGCATCGCGTTCGGCGATCGGGGGACCCCGTTGGGCCCCCACCAAAGGTCACTCCGGCGAAAGGTCACTCCTACGTGTAGTCGAGCCCCACGGGACCGCAGCCCCTTCCAGGGGACTGGCTGCTCCTCCCGAGCTGTTTTTCTTCGACGGCCCCTCCGGGCCAGGTGGGGGCCCCGAAAGACCGAACATCGCAACAGGAAGCCCTCCTCCTCCTCCTCCTCCCTCCTCCTCCTCCTGCTCCTCCTCCTCCTCCTCCTCCTCCTCCTCCTCCTCCTCCTCCTCCTCCTCCTCCTGCTCCTCCTCCTCCTCCTCCTCCTCCTCCTCCTCCTCCTGCTCCTCCTCCTCCTCACCATCATCATCATCCTGCTCCTCCTCTTCTCCTCCTCCTCCTCCTTCTCCTCCTCCTCTCCTCCTCCTCCTCCTCCTCCTCCTCCTCCTCCTCCTCCTCTCCTCCTCCTCCTCGTCTCCTCCTCCTTCTCCTCCTCTTCCTCCTCCTCTTCCTCCTCCTGCTCCTCCTCCTCCTCCTCCTCCTCCGGGAAACGTTGGCCCCCTTTTCGTCGCCCCTGCGGGAGGAGGGCAACAGGGAGGATGAGGACTCGCAAGATCCAGGCTGGCCTGGGGCACGGTCTGAATCGGCCACGGCGATCCCAACCTCTGCGGCGGGGGAGGGGGGGACTACGGCGGCAGGTACTAAAGTGAGCCAAGCAACGCTGAGCTCGGTGGTCCTTCACCTCACCATCAGCGCCCACTTCTTCTGCCTCCCTTGGGAGGCAACTCGTGGGAAGTCCGGCTAAGGAGTCACTAAACCAGATTAGCTCGGATTAAACCCAGGATGATGCCCGGCTGAACGGGGCTAGCAATAATCATGTAAACGGGATATGCCAGATACCAGAATGAGGCTCCCAGGAGCTGAATCCGAGCCTCCCTATCCGCAGGAGTGCGGTAAAGCAAGCAGCACATAACTGACGAGCATCGGCGGACGGCTCCGTCGACGTCATCGTCGTCGTCATCGTCGTCGGCGTCGTCGTCGGCGTAGTCTTCGTCGTCGTCCTCGTCGTCGTCGTCGTCCTGTTTGTTTCTGTTTGACGGCATTTGGGGACGATGATCCGCTGCCCGCATGTGAATTCGGGAAAGGCGCACTTGTCCTGATGCTTGATCTTAGGCTCCGACCTGTTGGGCCTCGCAATACGGGTCAAGCGGACAAAAGTAGCACGCTAACGCTTGATCGAGAGGGGGGTGACGGGTCAGGTCAACACAGCTCCGCGGATGGACCTCACCCCTCTCTCGAAGCTCCTGGCAGGCGAAGGAGACAAAATGTCAGGCCAGAAACATGCATAGTTCGGGGGGCAGATGCTTGTCCGACTGGGTCTCCCATCGGCCGTTGGCATCGCCTCTCTCCGAAGTGGTGTGACCTCCGTGGCTGCAGCGTCCTTTATTCTCCATAGTGTGGACTTCTCTGCGCACGGAGGGAAGATTGATTCACCGTCTGGAGCATCGTCGGTTTCGTCATTTGCGATCCGAACATACACTGGTCAATCCAGACAGTGTCGACGTTGAAACCCATCGATGACAAGGTCCGCATGTGGCTAGTTTCCTTGAGAAACCAACTCGTTGGAGCAACCTGGTTCGACGGGCACGCAGAGTGCTCAAGTATGCCACAAACACCCGAAGCAAGACAGACGTACATGAAATAAAGCGCAGCGCGATATAGATCCTTAGCTGTAAAGATCTGAGCCCACTCTCTGGGAGTGGCAAGAGGTCGCCCCCATTCATGCTGTAGAGACCGAAGCGATCTAGCTCCATGGTCTCTGGGGTCCTCAGTAAATCGTGCTGGCTTTCAGGTCTCGCTGGGGGGTCTGGCGATCACTCCTATAGCGAGACCTCGGAAAACAAAATCAGCGAGGTTGACGCGGGAATTCTGTATCCTGAGATCGCAGTCGACATCATTATGTGTGATGTCGATCGATAAAACAGCAAGGGGCCCCGTAGGTGCCTCGAGAGCCTGAAAGAGCTCTACGCAATGCTGAAAATATTCCCCCCGTCTCTCTCCGCAAAAGAGATGGAGAACATACCTCGTTTCACTTGGCTGAATCCTACGCGGGCTCGGAAGGGCTACCCCTTCGGCCTCGGGGAAACAAACGATGGGGGTGTAGGAGGAGCGGAGCAGAGGAGGCCCAAGACCATCCAGGGCAGAATGGAGGGCGTCACCAGGGTCCTCGGGGAGGGCGGGGACTTCGGCCTCGGTAGCTCGCAAGCCCTTGGCCTTCAAGGAGGCCACCAAGGCGCGGTCATCTTCGCACAGCTCCTTGTATCTCGCGTCGGGGTGGGGGGCAATGGTCCGACTCCAGAGCTCAAGGCAACCAGTGCGGGCATGCCGCAAGCGCTTCAGGAGGCGGGGGCGCGTGACAAAGCCAACTCCACAAGCCAGGCATTGCCCAGTTTCGGCGATTCTGCCCGCAGGGTCATCGTGCTTCTTGGTAATATGAGCGCGCATAGCTCCCTCGTGGGCACACACATACTGGCAAGTGTCACAAACGTATTTCGTAACAGGCTCGAGGAGCGGGACAGAGTCGGGAGGCGGAATGGCGTGAGCTCTACATATGTTGCCCAAGTCCTTTCTCCACAACTGAAGCCGGTGTTGGTCTGCTTGCCATGTTTTAAAATTGCGTGCGGCGGTCCTGCAGATGTTTTTCCATCGGGCTGGGTCGGTGGCCGCCTGCAACAAAAGCTCGCGCGCAGAGAGCGTGCGATCTTCATTCAAATCATAAAACTTCTGAAGCCACGTGAGATCTTCTCGTATGAGCGCGCCCCAAGACTTCTTACAGCGGCCTTCCATATCGAGGAGTTGCCGCAGCTGGGGCGGGGCCGAAGTCATCAGCCCGGCCAGGTACCGAAGCCGCATGAGACGCAGGACGTCAGGAACAGCGAGCCTGCTGACATCGAGCAAGACCTGCTCGTTGGCAACGTGCGGCTGGTCAGGACGTCCTAGACAAATCCCGAGGATGGTCCTGAAAAGGGGCGAGGTGGGCGGCAACCATAGCTTGTTGTTGATCTCTAGACAGTTCGCCCCAGACGTGGGCGTTGTAGAGCAACCTCGAAGTACAAAGAGCGTCAACATACTTGGCTCGGGTCTTGATGGGTAACCTTCTGACTTTCAAAACCGTCCTGCGAAGAGGCCCGAGGCCCGTCTTTTGCTGGGTCCTGCGATGGGCCAACTCGGGGGCAACGGAGCCACTCTGGGCCAACGTGGAGCCAAGATATTTGTAGGATCTCTGAAGGAAAATTTCTTCGTCGTAGTGGGTAACATAGACAGGGTCAGCAACAGGGAAGAGAGTGGCCTTAACCTTTCGTGCTCCCTCTCCTCGTGGGTGGACGAGAAGTGCTGATTTGCCTTTTTTGAAATTGATAGTCATGCCTCTCTTGACCGTAGCCTTGCTGATGGTGACAACCACGTCAGACATCGCCTGGGGGAAGTCGGCAACACTTTGAACCACCGCCATGACGCAGAGGTCGTCAACAAAGCTGCTGTCAGCGAGACAATCTGTCTCAGCGTCCTGTGGCAGAGAAAAGAGAGGGTCCTGCTGGCCGTCTAGCTCAAGCAGGTAGTTCGCACTGCTGAGTTCCTCACGTATTTCACGCACAATAGGCACAAACATAAGGTTGAACACAAGGTCAGCAGGCGAGCTGCCAGGTCGGCTGCCCGTGGTGGTACGTATAACTCCTCGGGACCCCTTGGTTTTGAACCAGGTGCTGGTATGAAGATCCGCCAGCATCCTTAACAAGTGAACATTGTCGAGGCCCTCCAAAACAGAGGGTTGCGCGATGGTGTGCTCCAAGATCGGGACGGGGGCCTCGGGGATATCGGCGGCATCGATAGCGTCAGCTATGTCCTGGGGGTCCTGGAGGAAAGGCATGACAATGGGTCTGATAACCTTATAGAACGCAGATTTCAAGTCAATGAACGCAAGCACCGTAGAGAGGCCCTCGGCACAGGAAACAGCCGAAACAGTGCGGACCATGTAGGTCGCCATGTCGGTCCCTTTGCCCTGGGCCCCGCCCATCTGGGTCTCGATGATGAGACCCGCCACAAGCGTTTTAAACCGGCCCCTCAAAAATTTGTGGCGGTGCTTGGCAACATTATTCATGAGAAGGATGTGGCGATAGCTCTCGTGCATCGCCGCGCTGCCATTGTTCTTATACAGATCATGAGCCCACCCTCCTTTGAAAACGAGGGGCTCCTGGGCGTGCATGCCCGCCTTTAAGGTGACTGGGTGCACCAGGCGAGCAGTCTCGGTGGGTGCACAGCGCAACAGGTCATCAACGACGTCATCGGGTCCTCCAGCCTTGCCTGAGGTGGCCTGAGAGAACGAGAAACGGAGTTGGTCGCGGGTCATCAGATTTTCGGCGGGGCAAACGAGGAGGGGGGGCGATCACGATTGTCTTCGCTATATTCATCGCAAAGCCCTTTTTCGGTGTACAGAGTCCCGCCCTCAACACCAGCAAAGTAAGCTTGAACCGAATCGGCCACCTCGGATTTCGTCTGAAGGGGGCCCCCGTCGGGGCCATTGCGGATGGGGAGGGCGCCGCTTTGGAGCTTCATCCTACGTCCTCCGAAAGCCTGAAGGTACCTGGCAATCTGCCATTCTTCCTTGGCATTTCCATCCTCGATGGCCTCGCTCATCTCACTGACCATCCTCTCGAGGGCGTCAGTCTTGTCGATGTCCAATTTCTTCTTGGGCAGTCCAGCCGTGGCGGAGAGAAAACCCCGAAGAGCCCCGTCCCAAGAGCCGAGGTCCAAGAACTCCAAGAAGGCCAAAGCCGCAAGCCTGAGCTCACACAGACGGTCCTCGAAAGTGAGAAGGAGGCTTTGAGCCTCTTCACAACACTCAAAAACAGGAGCTTGAAAAGGCAGGATAAGAGTGCTGGCGCAATTGTACATAGCTTGGGCTTTTTTTGCCAGGGGCAGCGCGAAGGATAGCCTTGTTCTTCCGTCTCCACTTGACGAAGTAAAGAGTGAGCTGATCTGCAGGGCTTCCTCGGGTGAACCTCCTGGACAGGGAAAGCGGCGACAACCGCCCAAAGAAACTGTTCCTGGGCTTGGCTGTAATGTTCGTTGATGTCGATCGACCAGGGCACCAGGGGGATGGTACTCAAAAGCGCCCTGAAAATCGCAACCCTGTGGTGATCTTTGGTAAGCTTGCGGTTATACCTTGGCCTGCTAACCTCGATTCGGCTGCTGTGATCTGGCCTGTCGTGGATTGCCCGCGCCATTCCCAGCGCAGTAGGGAAATGATCACTCACCTCCATCAAGTCATCGAGATCACTCCACACTTGTTCGAAAATGATGGCAGGCACAAAGTGAGGCTTGACGAGGACACAGTCAATCCTGTGATAAGCGCCATTCTTCACAAAGGTGAAACCGTTGGGCTCAGTGTCCCTGCTCCAGGTGGGGTCAGAGAAAGTGGAGGGGGCGACGAGCCCAAGTTCGCACATGAACTGGTGAAAGCAGGTGCCCGAGACATTCTCTTCCTCCATCCATCCTCCATTCCCCACAGCAGTGGACGAAATGCCACCAGCCCTCGCGTTAACATCGACCGACACGACGTCGACTGACATCCGTTGGGCAATCGCGGTAGTCTCCTCCCACCACCT